CCTTTCTTACTTTCCCTCCTCCTCCTTCCTCTTTCTTCTTCCCCTCTCTTTCCCCCACTCTTCCTCTCTTCTCCTCCTTCTTCCCCTCTCTCCCCCTCTTAAGTCCCCTCCCTTACTTCCTCTGCTTTCACCCTTTCTTACTTTCCCTCCTCCTCCTTCCTCTTTCTTCTTCCCCTCTCTTTCCCCCACTCTTCCTCTCTTCTCCTCCTTCTTCCCCTCTCTCCTACTCTTAATTCCTCTCCCTTACTTCCTCTGCTTTCACCCTTTCTTACTTTCCCTCCTCCTCCTTCCTCTTTCTTCTTCCCCTCTTTCCCCCACTCTTCCTCTCTTCTCCTCCTTCTTCCCCTCTCTCCTACTCTTAATTCCTCTCCCTTACTTCCTCTGCTTTCACCATTTCTTCCTTTCCCTCCTCGTCCTTCCTCCTTTCTTCTTCCCCTCTCTTTCGCCCCTCTCTTCTCCTCCTTCTTCCCCTCTCTCCTACTCTTAATTCCTCTCCCTTACTTCCAATGCTTTTACCCTTTCTTCCTTTCCCTCCTCGTCCTTCCTCCTTTCTTCTTCCTCTCTTTCCCCCTTCCTCCTCTCTTCTCCTCCTCCTTCCCCTCTCTCCTACTCTTAATTCCCCTCTTTTACTTCCTCTGCTTTCACCCTTGCGAGAAAGGATGATTAAAGACTGAACTCAATGCTATTCCTCCAGCCCCCCCCCCCGCCCCCCCCAACAACAACTTGGACAGGCCAATTAACGGCTGGGGCAAAGAAACCACCCACAAGGATTAGACATAGCCCCCAATTAAAAAAACAACAAGTACCAAACACTCAACGCTTTGCCTGAAGGCAAACTAAATGCTGCTTAAGGGATGGAGGGGAGAAAGGGGGGGAAAAAATAAATTGGAGCAGGTCCCTCAAACAGGCTCCATCCAAAGGAAGCCATCGCTCTCCTTGTGCTGACAACTCAATGGCTTAATGTTGTTTTACAGGGAGATTCAGAGCCCCCCCCGTCCCCCACCCCCCCCTCCCGGGTTTGGCTGGGAGGTTTATTTATTTATTTTGCAGTGTGCGTCCCTCCCGTCCCCTCCCCTCACGACATCCTCCCACCCTCCGGCCTCTGCTCCTTCCAGGGAAAGGGCCGGTGAATAGAGGCCTGTCAATTTGATGGAAGGTCTTGGCAGCTCCTTCCGGACTCTCCTGGGGACAATGAAGCCGACTTTATTTATTTATTTATTTTTGCACAAAGGGAACCAGCCAAGCACCTGCTAAAAAAAAAAAAAAACCTGCAGGGGAAAGGAACAGGGGTTGCGTAATCTTTCTTTTTTTTTTTTAAAAAAAANTATGTATATGTATATGTATATGTATATGTATATGTATATGTATATGTATATGTATATGTATATGTATATGTATATGTATATGTATATGTATGCATAAAATTTGTCCTTCACATGTTTGCACTAATATTTTCTTTTCAGATTTACATTTTCACTTGCTTACTTCAACCATGTGATTGCCAGCAGAGAGAGGCCTCATTATTATTCCACTGGTCAAGGAATTCCAATGGCTTGATCTAAGAGAAGGGCTTTCTCTGCTGTTGCCCCACCATTTGCAACATCTTACTCTCAGAAGAGAGGCAACCTCTCCCACTTCTGGTTTTCCAGAAGTGGGTAAAGACCTGACTTTGCCAATTAACATGTAGGAAATGGATTCAAGAGTAAGATGCAACCCTGGGGATGACTGGTGGCTTGAATGTCCTTTTGCCTTTTCACTTTTACCTTCTAACTTTTAATTTTGTCCTTAACTCTGTGTGCTTTTATTCACATATTTAAATTGTTTTATTATATTGTTATAATCCATCCAGAGTCACCTGGGTGAGATGGGTGATGTAGATATATAATAAATAAATACATAGTAAATGGGTTTATCTAAAATGTATGATGGAAAGGATTGCTCCACAGAGACATGATCTCCTATATATGACTTTCTTGAAATGATGGGATAGTCCCATCTGCTTTCCATTTGCAAGCTTCTGCAAAAAATAGCTACCTTTTGTAGTTCCAGCAAGGTACAATGAAATTGTCAGTAGAAATCTAGGAAGAAAGTATCTGATGTTATATTTTTTTAATTATTTGATATAGTTGTGTATTGTCTTCTAAAGTAAGGGGATCAGTTCTTAGAAAATTGGCAGGTTTGGCAACACATGGTTTCTTAAGAAATCTTTCCTAATTTGCATCATTGCATCTATTTCTCTTGAAATGCAACTTCTCAGTATTACAGCAGAAAAAGTCCATATATATTAGGGGAATAATTTGAAGTCTACTTTATTTGCAGGTACCCCACTGAACATATGCTAGTTAATATAACCTCATATTCTACAATGGGATAAAGTCACAAGGGCCACTGGAGAGTTGTTTAATTATAGGAGGTGTTTTGTTTGAAATATTGCATGTATTTTACTGATTGCATGATAATATAAACACCTGCCATAAGCCATCTATAAAACAAGAAGTTATTAGACTATAAGAAAGTTAATATGAAAATGACATGGAACTGAATCATTTAGTATAAGTGGCTATGTAAAGCGTCATGAAAGTGTCACAATGTCTTATGCTGAAATCGTATTTGCCGGCTTTGCCAGTAGCAATGCTACTTTCCGGACAGCATAAAACGCAACAGAATTCCAACTCAGAAGGCTGAACATTTATATCTTTGACATTAGTTTGCAAAATTCCTTTATGCGATTATGGACATGATCATCCTACGGCAGAAAATTGTAGATCTTAATCATTAATATGTCTGTTTGTTTCAAGTCTATTATTTAGCTCTCTATATATTCTCACTCCATGGAACTTTGTCTCACTGACCTATGCTGCTACCTGATGCAGCTTCATAGTACTGAACCTATAGCAACAGCAACCACAAGACCTCTTGAAGTGACATATCTTTTCTTATTCTCAAGATACAGAATAATAATAAGTTTCCTTGTTGTGCCTGAACAGATGTTTAGAAAACATTTTATAGAATATACAGTCTTTACATATAGAGTGGTGATGCAAAACACAAGCATTCAATGTTTTTAAAATTAATTTTAGTCCATGTTTTGCAAACCCTGCTTGAAACACTTGGGACAGTGCCTTTAGTATAGTTGCTATCCACTGTAGACAGGAAACCACAGATTTTACAGTTATGCAAATATTATTGACCTGTCAGCTTTCTTACCAAATATAGCACAAGCTCCCCCCCACCCCCGGCACACACAATGTACACCGTGGAACTCATTTGTAAAGAATCTCACCGAAATCTTGTTCTTAGTTTGTAGCACTGAAGGTCTGGGAACAAATGCAAGAGAATTAATGAGGTTTGGATTTGGATTTATTACATTTATATGCCGCCCTTTTCCCCGAAGGGGACTCAGGGTGGCTCACAATTCAATCAGGGAAGGGGGTACAG